TAGAACCTCTGCTTGAATAGTTATAGTCTGTCAGCAGGGAATACCTCTGTTCCTCACTTCTCATCAGCATGGAGACACCACCTGGTGTCTCAAAGCTGGGCCTGATGTCCTGTGAGTACTCAGTGTCTCCATTTGACAACCAGGTCTGTACATCAATATCAGGCTTCACAGTCCTCAGGAGACTGGAGTTCCTAGGGCTGCTGATCGGAGGAACACACTAAAAATGAGCATTAGTACATTTTTTTCTCTAGTACTCATGACTAAGGCAACAAGAAGCCTGCTGGCTGCTGGGATGTTACAGTTCATGGGTTCAGGAAAGCACGAGCCAACATGAAGATAAACACACTATGAGCAGAGGGTAAATTATAAGAGTTGCAAACAGACAAAGGAACAGAGGATGTCAGATAACTGTGTAGATAAACATCCTGCAGAAAAATAAGTCAATGAACTAAATCGATGTAATAAATCGGCCGTTTTGGGAAGTGGGGCTGGAAAAGGAGCTGAAGTGGTCGTCCCCTTGTTTGAAGGCTGGAAACTTTTCCTTTTGGCTGGGCAGAGTTTAGGATGGCTCCAGGCCTCAGCTGTTGCTTGGCTTCAGGTTTCACAGCTCACTTGTGCAATCTGGAGTGAGAGATGCTGGAGTGTGTGTGGTCTCTGCTGCGGGCAATGAAAATGACAGCGCTGCCTCCTAATTCATCGCTGTGCTGACACAGGGAGTCCATGGGTTAAAACTATCTTTCCCTGGTCAAAATAGCTGAGAATTTATCTAAAAGCGAAGTCTGAGCTCTTCTTTTTCTTTAACAAGATATTACTAGTATTTTTAAAGTCACTCTGCCAGTTTCTGAGATGCCTGTGTAGCAGCTAATGTTGTTCACTCCTGGGGTTAACAGATAAAGCTGCAAAAAATTTGCAGATGTTTTGTAAGGCCACTAGATGTGTGTGTCTCTTTCTCTCTGGTAGTGCTGTGGCTGCCAGACCAAAGTGTTTGCAGTAGCCACATGCAGCCTCTCTAGGACCTGCTGTTGCCTGCCTGAACATGCCAGCTGGTCTCTGGCCCTGGACTGTGTCACTCCAGCCTATTTACGATTGATGTCACCACCTCTGTGTTGCTCTTGTTACTTTTCTGAAGCCCGTAATTTGTTGAGGGCATTATGCAGCATCCTGCTGTGCTCCGGAAAGAAAAGATCTCTGTGCAGCTCGAGCACTGTGAATGCAGACTTCGTTTCTTCTCTTCTAAAGAGCAATTCTCAAACTCAAATTGTCATCCGATGGTGTCTACAGGCCTTCATGCAGTCAAAATTCCCTTGCGTTTGGGTGCAGCTTAAGAGACTCTACTCCAGGTCTCACAGCCGGCTTTCAAAGCCGGAGTGCTCCCACCCTCCTGGGTGTGCACGCCTGGACGAGGGACATGGGCAGCCTTGTAGTGAGGCTAGGAGGGTGGGAGAGGATTTGTATCGCGCTGCTGCGTCATCCTGGAGCAAGTTCTGCAAGTGCCTCAGCTCCCATGAGAAGAGACCAGTTGCTGATCTCTAGCTCTCCTCTTGAAACCAGGGGAGAGGCAGAATCTGTGACCGAAACAGAGAGAACCAGTGCTCTTTACAAAGAGTTGCCTTAGAGTAACAGATGAGACCAGCCTTGTATTTCAATTATGCTGTCTGCTCTTTTTCCTCAGTTTCCATCAGGTTTTTGAGCCAGAGCAACAAGGAGTGAGCAGTCTTTCTCTGTTTAGTTAATATTTGCATCTAAAGACTGATATTGATTACTGTTTTCAAAGGCAATGGTAGTTTTCAAGGTGTTTATTACAAATTACTCAGTCCAGGTAAAACATTGATGCATTCTCATAAGAGGAGCAATTGGATCTGAGGTGGTGGACAGGCTCTTTGCTCCAGGTTGGCCATTGCTTCTGCTGCCTCTTGCCCATTCTGTCCTACATTGATTGCACTGGATTTTTGCAGTTTCTGAGAACAAAGCCTTGTGCCATCCCTCTTCTGTGGATTCTCTCTCAACCAGTGCTGCTACGGAGGACCACGTGTCCATGGGAGGATGGGCTGCAAGAAAAGCTTTGAGAGTTATTGAACATGTGGAACAAGGTAAAATTAAAATGCTAATTTCCAGACAGACCATATGTAACCAGATTAAGATATTAGTGCCATTCTTTTTAGATATATTTTAGGAAAAAGAGGTAATGCATCTGAAAGAACTATCTAAAAACATTATATTAAGTACATATTTTACAAGCATTTCTATCTTTCTAACAGAAATGAGGTAAATCTAGCACTATGTGCTTCTTGTGAAACAAAACTGCTTACGGCAGGTCACTCAGCAAAACTTTCCTCTCTTGCTTACAAAGACAAATTTCCCTCTTGCTTTTATTTATTTACTTGGCAGACGTTGTGCTTAGATACAGATGTCAGCTGTTAGTGGAAAGGCAGAGTAATACACAGCACACAAATACTGAACTCACTTGCCCACTCAAGTTTATACAGTTGAGTGCTCTGAAGATTTAGTTTTATAGAAATACGTTTTTTGTGCACAGAGAAATGAGTTTGAGAAATGTGTGTTTCAAGAACGTGTTCAGAAACAGCATGCCCTGGATCCTAGTTGGTTCTCCCAATTCCTTAGGTGGACTGGCTCGTGAAAATGAGGAATGAATGCCCATAATGATCAGGCGTGACATGGACCGATACAGTGCAAACTTCTCCAGTCAGAAGACTGTCTTCCAAAGCTCTGTAATACTAGTGGTGCTTTCACATGGGCTCTTGCAAGCTTCATAGGCAGAACTTTCTTTTATAGCTCAGGCCCCTTTCTTCTTCTCACTCCTAAAGAAGTTTTCTGATTTACGATGCCCATTACTTTGGGTATTCAAGATGCCTTGGAAGAGATTTTTATGGATTTAAGACTGATAACTGGGAGTTCCTGGCACACTGAAAAGTCTGTACCGCAGACTACCTAAAATCTGCTTGTTAAAATGCTGGATACTACACCCAGCACCATCCATGAAACAATCCTGCTGCGGGGCTGCCTCTCTGGGGTGTGTGGATCCACCAGTCTTTCCTCATCACCTTAAACCGTATCACATTAGCCGGAACAAACACCAAGGAGAGTTTTATAAGGGAGACCTCGCCTTGAGCTGCCAAAATCCCTTTTACTGTTTTGATTTCCTAGTTCTGGCTATTGAGCTGCTCGCAGCCTGCCAAGGCATTGAATTCCTACGCCCTCTGAGGACGACAACCCCACTGGAGAAGGTCTACGACCTCGTGCGCTCCGTTGTGAGGTAAGATCAGATAAACGCCTCCCCCAGAGGTTGCCCGTCTGGAGACGGGCTGCCGGTGGTGGTGGTTAATGTTTGGCCAATGTTCGCGATGTGTCTCGTTACAGACCTTGGATGAAGGATCGCTTCATGGCCCCGGACATCGAAGCAGCTCACAGGCTGCTCGTGGAGCAGAAGGCGAGTGTTGCCTTTCGGCACGTGCCATAGGACTGTCCTGAGGAGCACACTGCAGCTCTGCTCTGGAAATACCCTCCGTGCATTCATGGGCTGGCCTCGCTAACAGCGCTCCTCTGCCTGGGGTGAACCTACCAGATTTCCTGAGATTGGGTTTTCCTTAGTTTTAACGGAATAGATTTAAAATCAATTCCTAAAGTTACCCTGTGTAATAAATAGCTTACGTTATTAATTCTGGCAGGGGTTTCACAGATACATGTCCAGCTTTGAATAGTTTGAGGGCAGGGTCCTGTACCCTCGCAGATCTCCAGAGAAATCAATGGTGTCTCCAGATGGTGTTCCTCATTCCTGGGGCAGTGAGTGCTCCCCAGTTTTGAGGATCGTGGGCATGGTGAACCACTGGAAGCAATAAAGGGACGTGGATGAGGGAATAGCAGTGGCAAAATGCGTTAACCTGGTCCAAGTGTTTGTACCGCTATGTGATCCATCTCTTTCAATTGTTTGTAACATATAAGTAACAGAAGAATCATAGTGAGTAAGCAAACTGGACAAGAAAATCCCAGTCCATCTTCTGTAAGGCTGTTTGCCCTGCAGCCCTTACAGGAGGAGAGACAAAGGAGACCACAGAACGTTTTCCTTTTCTGCCTTAAATCCCAGCGGCTATCCCTTCCCTTTTCCTTTGTCCATGCCAGCTGCCATTTTGCTCCCCTGGCCTCTTCATGACCAAGTGATTTTGTAGCACGTGACAGCAATCCTCTCCTCACTGCTGCACACAGACCATTAACCTGGTAACAAGACAAGACGCAACGTTTTCTCCTTGAATCCTTTCACCTTGTCCCCCCGGAGCTGTATCTTTTCCCAGCCCCTGTCAACTCCATCCACGTGTTCTTCCCCAAACCTCACTCTGGCTGCCTCTCTGGTTCTGCAGATCACATGCAGTTATCTATGTAGGTCTGTAATTCTCACCTCTATCCCAGTAACTCTTCCATGGGGTTTCTTGAACTTGTGCCTTGATGTCTGACCTGACCTTTTGGTTTTGACTCTGCCGTTTCACTTTCTCATTTTGCAGGTGTGGGAAGTGGCTAAACCTTACATTGAAAAGTACAGGAGGGAACACATCCCTGAATCGAGACCCGTTTCACCAACTGCCTTCTCCTTGGGATCGCTGGAAATGAATACACATGTTTGTCACGACCATGGGCATCAGAATGAACTTTAAGAGCTGCATCATCTGGTACGGAGCAGATCCTTTCCAGGACCTTGCCTAAGGGTGGCCGTTGTGCTAGAAGTCAACATGGTTTCTCCAAGTGACCCAAAGGACCTGACTCTCTGGCTCAGGAGCACCTACAGACAGTAGAGAAATGGCTCACTGCTTTCCTTGCACATGAAAGACAGCTTTGTCACGATACTCTGGTTTTGGCTGAAT